TAAACTACTATTTATTATCCAGACATAATAGTTAATTTGTTCTTATTACTTTTGAATTGTTAATTAAATAATAATATTTCAATATAATGTAGCAGATAAAATTGGTGAAAACACAAAGAAGTTGGTCACAGAAAAACAGTAATATTAATACTACACTGACAATTTGATAGAAATAAAATACAATTAGTACAATTCTGAATTTTTTTAGACATATTGACTGAACACATTACAATGTATCAAATAAAGTTTACATTATCATACAGACGTTTTGACATAATATTATTTTAATAAATGCAAATAAGAAACATTTATGAAGTAAAAATAATAAATATAAAGTTATACCAAATATCTAAGACTAGTTTAATTTAAGCTCAAATGCAATGATCCCATTAATGTCTCAAGTACATACAGCTGATTTTTCTTATTTAATTGCTTTTTCTCGCTGAAACAGAAATAGATAATTTATAATGACTACAGAACATTTAAAAAGTTGAATTTTATTATCTACCTGTACATGTGTTCAACTCGTTTCAATGACAATGTAGCAATTTTCTTGAATGTATTTTTTTTTGTTTGGTTATTTTTTTGCGATGACATCAAACTGCGAGCAGTCTAAAAAAAAGTTGGTTTGTTAAACTCTTCTAACCCTATTGAATAGGGCACCTCATATTGATTTATTATAGTAAATTTACTTTGTGTGGCACTAAGACTAGTGGGATTGGAGTTAAATTAGAGGCAACCTACCTATTATCAGGTAGAAAGATGAAATTATTTATGATCTTAAAACTGTGGACACTCAATGTTTACTATAATTTTGAATTAATCTATTTTACAATTATATTTACATACTTTAAATTTGTGTAGAATTTAAATAAAATAATTCAACATTACATCTTGTATAATCATTTTATACTTAATTTTAAAATAGATCAATTAAGTTAGTGGAAAGTATTTGGCTTGTCTTATATAAAGTTAACACAATATTATGTTAATATTTTTTCCCTAGAATCTAATAATAGTTAATGATTTTACTTAACTATTTTAAAAGTATAAAATAATGATTAAATAGTCTTACCAAGTATAATCCATACAAAGCTCGGATGTTGTTAGGGTTAAGAAGAATAGCATATGAATAATGAGCACGCGCTAATTCCAAATTTTCTGTACCTCCCTAAAAAATAAAATGCAATGTTTAATTTTAGTTTTAATACAAGAAGGAATTCTAATTTTTACTTTATTTAAAGATTCAATACCTAACAAATTTATACAATAAACATTACAAAGCAGTCACAGAAAATTCACTATATACTTCAGTAGCTGTACAATATACATATTACATACTATAAAAGAAATAAAAAATAATTTTAGTTAATAATTAAAGTTTCAATACTTGTGTGTATCTTATATCCGCATTTCGTTGATGATATAAATGATTCTGAGAATTATGTAGAATCATTTCTTCCATACAATAAGCAGATTTTGCATACTCTCCTTCCAGCAAGTATAAATTGCTCAATTCTTGCCAGCCTTCTTGGTCTACCATAAACCTGAAATTATTGTGACATAACACACAATCACAAACGGCTTTTAATTATGTACATACTTTTTAAGATATTCAACAAGTTCTTTTATGGCTTCGCTTATCTGACATTTAGCTTTTAATATTGCAACTTTATGTCTCCTGGTTTGAGCATTTGTTTCATCAGCCTTGATTAGTTTGTCAAGAGATTCTAATGCTTCATCATATCTAGTTTACATAACATAAGAAATAATTTCTTTTATAAAACTTTGGTGTATATAAGTATTGAAATGGTAGTTTTTAAAAATGTACAAATTATTTGTTTAATTATCTAACTAATATAGGAAAAATAAAATACCAAATAGATTTTTATTTTTAAAGGAATAAGATCTTTTAAGTTTATAACACTAATTTTTACAAAAATATGGTTTAATTACTTTTCCTCTGCTTCAAGTATTGTTATAGCCAGTCTACGCACTCTCAGACTGTCGGGGAATTTATTAAGAAGCATTTGCAAACATACTTTGGCAACATCAATACGGTTACAATCACATGCTGCTATTAATACTTGTTCCAAAACTAGGTAACCTATAATGTTAGAAAACAAATGATTAGTCATTTAATACAAAATAGTTAATCATCATTAGTGAAACAAATAAATTATTTATGCATGTTATCTTAAAAAAAAAAAAATAAAGTGAAAAATTAAATACTAACATTTATTCATTAAATAAGTAATAGTTGATTTATTGATTTTCTCGATTGATCAGATAAAAGTACATAACACCCATTTATTGTATACTATACTTAATATTATGTATAATTTAGTTCATATTAAAAACACGAAAAGTAGGATAAATATTTTTATGTATGAGTATCAACTATCAAGTTATTTTTATTAACAAGTATTTTAAGTTTGGAAGGGCCAAATAAAACAAACGACCATACGATATACTGGAAAAATTATGGTCCATTAATTTTCTCGTCTAAGCTTTAAATGATTTTTTATAGTTGTTAATTTTTTAATATTCATGCAACATTTTAGTAAATTCGTAAAGTATTCTGCTTGTGAAACAAGTCATAAAAAAATGACTACAGTAAAATATTTTTATAAAGGTGATGAAATGATTATGTTATAAAATACTTCAAGCTACCTACATAAAAAGTTTTAATAAAATTAAAAAAATGTATGGAGCCAGTTAAATAGATAACTAGAGAGCTATATATGTAACTAACAATTTAAAGAAATGTCTTTTTCATTAAATTTTATATTTTAAACTTAATTCATGCTTTATAGTTTATTATAATCAAAGAGAATATCAGTTTTATAAGTACCTACATCAGAGATATTCAAAATGTGCATCAAGGCTTTCTAGGGCACTGAGTCAAAGAACCGGAAACAAAACTTAATGTAATAAATAAAAATAAATATTATTTTTAATCATTATGGAAGTTTGAAGTTTTATTTTGATGGTACTAGTCATAAATATTGTTGCCTGTACTGTATTCATCGACCATCGCCCATAATTTGGGAGCAGTGAAGGATTGGCAAAGTATCAACCCACAGTTTTAGGATTTTAATCCGTCAAATTTTCAATAAGACATAATATTTTTTATTTATAGTTATTCATATTTTATTGTCCAGAGTTTGAGGTATTTTGATATTTTCTTTTATATATATGTTGCAGTAAAATCAATAATCCATCAAAACCAGTTTTAACTAGTCAACACTAGAATTAATTTCAAGTTTAAATATCTAAATCGAAAAAACTAATTTCTACTGAAATGTATATGTATTAAAAATAAAACCTAGAACGTAAGCGACCTAGCTGGCAATCAAATAAATTAAGACAACATTGACTGCATGGCTACTAAATCGATTACTACAATAATTATTATAATAGTTAAATGTATGGCTGTGGTGCCTGTGTATGTTATGTTATTTATGAAGTATTTATTTGAGTGCCAATATCGTTCAGTTTGTGGCTGTGACAGTAAGTTATTTACACAGTTAATTTTTGCATTTTTCTTTATCTGAAAGTTTTTCAGTAATATTAAACAATATTTTTAATATTAACTAGTACAATCCATTTTTAAGAAAATTTTGAAAATCAATTTTCACTAAATAGTTATAGTCTCCAATCTCCATTATTATATTTCAGACACAACTAGTTCTAACTAAAAAAGTAAGTTAAAACTAGTCCCAACATTGAAGGATCTGGTTGATTCTATATTTAACTCATTTGGTTAGCTTAAATGAGTGTTGATGAAAAGGGGTTGTAAAAATTAATATTGACTATAGTTTTATAGTTAAAACTAGTTTAGACGGATTTCAGGTTGTAACTGTAACATATATATTCTATTATATATTATATATTACTAAGCTGGCTTAAACCGACTTCAACTCAATAAATCAAAAGGTCTATCTAGGCCTGTTTAAGAGATGTCAAAATATTGTGAAGATACAAATGAGCCAGATGATAAGGTTGAGTAGGTACCTCCAACTTATCCCTATATTATTATTGATGGATTGTCAGATTGATAACGAAAATATTATTCCTAAATATATGGACTCCATCATACTAATGCATAATATACTAAATATACATTCATGAAAATGTATTTTACTCTAATATTTTTTAAATACAAATTAAATACATTATAATGATCTTTTATTACTAGATAATGTTTTTATAAATATTTATTGGTACATTTTATATTATAAGTAATATTATATAAAATACTACATAATATGCTCATATACAATAAATTTAATTACCTAGTTGTTGAGCATTAAAAAAAAACATATAGAATTTAAATGTTAATAAAAATAAACACAAAGAAATGACCTATTTCTATGTTTATTTTCTAAAAAAATTTTTTTTGTTACTTCATAAAAACACTTACGATCATTTCCTAATTGCTTAATTTTATGTTTGACAGATGAATCCCATAATTCTAACACTTCTTTACTCTTACGTTCATTGTCTTCTCTATACTTCTTAAGTTTCTCTTGAGCTTCTACAAAAATAATTATAATAATAAGCCGACTAACTTATAATGAATAATAATGCATATTTAACAAAAACTTACCACTTAAATGAACCATGACTTTTATTATACTAGAAATTAAACTATAACAATCAAGAATGGAACTGAGGAAATTTAAATAGTACAAAATCTGGAATAATAATCAACAATAATGGGTTGTGGCTATTGATTAACAGCGCACAATAGACGAATAATTAATTAATGGAATATTCTCAATGTAGGTACTTATATAAATTATAATTATAATTTATATTGTGTAATGAGTTGTACAACTATGTTCATTGATGGGTTTGATAAGTATTTTGCATTTTTCCGCAACGGGACACTGATAATGGGCAGGTGATTCCATGGGCGTAGATAATTAAGTCCCGTGGCCTTTTGACGTGCAATCGTGGTGGTGATATCTTGACTGCAAGACGTCTTATCTACTGATAAGTGATAAGTGATAACACTAAAAATCAACATTTAGGATAATTTTGAGATATATTTTGAAATTTTCACCGCAATTTCGTCGTTACGTTTGATAGATTTTGACATAAACTAGGGTCATCGACCATCAAGAGATCAACAGTTACGATTGCTTGTTATTTCTGATGAGTGTTGATGAGAAGTGTGTTCGGAGACGACCAAATTTTGTTTGGGATGGTATATGGTATATTTTGTTTGTTGCAGTTTCGTAAAAACAATTATGAGATGTCCCAAAATTTAGATGACTGTGACGAGCCTTAATCACTATGAAGTGTGTTATACCCAGACAGAATTTGAAAAGTAACTATGATTAATACTAATGATGTTTTCAGATTACTGCAAGATCATTTTGAGCAGCAATATATCTGAATAAAGAACCACAAATAATTTAGCATTAATTATATTAATATACTTACATAGTTAAGAATTATTACCGTTAAAATATATAGTAGAAAATATCATTTATAATTTATAACTGACAATTTTTCAAGTAGTTCAATGTTTTGTTTACAATTATAGTTTTATCGCGAGCATTGAATACAATGTGCCGCATTGGAGAAGATTTGTATATCGAGCCCAATTCAACGCGATTAGTTATGCACACTACCAATAGTTGGCATACCGTATATGCATGGTTTACATTTGACTCGTCATTCTTCTCTAGTTATTATTTTACTGAAGACGACGAACAAAACAGTGAAAATTCATTGAAATGTAAAATATCACTCAAGGTATATTTTGATTTGCTTAACACAACTTAATTGAACAAGTTTAAACTCTTCAAAGACCTGTTATTGAAAATTATGTGTTTAGTCATGCATTACAATATTCAAATCTCCACATTTATCCCGCTGCTTAGAGTCATGTCATATGGAAATTAAAAGTAATGCAGATACAATTACTATTCAATTGCGTTATTCAAATTTTTGTGTTAAAACTCATTTGATACCAGTACTAGAATATTCAGCATTACAAGTGAGTTTTTGATGGATTGTTACATAAAAAATTGATAATATTTTAATAGGGCATTGTATGCAGCCAGAAGATAAAATACATAGGTATCAACACAAACTGAGATAATTTTAATTCTTAATATATTTAATTTTGTTTTTATTAGGTGAATCAAAATGTTGATACAAATCATGTACTCTGTATTGATTCAAAGGTGTTATCAGCTGCTGTTAAACATTTCCAAAACAGTGAAACCGACATTACATTAATTGTAACTACTGAAAAAGTGATATTGAAAACCCACTCGGAATCTTGTCGAGGTGTTTGAATTGAATACTAAGTTGGTTTTACATGGCTGATGTACTTGGCCAGTATTGGTCATTGGTCACCAATAACCTCATGTGTGGAAAACATCTTATGTATAACTGGCTCGTACTGTTGGAATTTTGGTAAACTTGTCACTAATCAAAGGACCACTAATATTTGTAAATATCATGATGTTATTCTTGTCCATATCATACACTAGACATAATCAAACTTTTTTTTCACTTAAAACTCATGTGTGTCATGGATTGATCATGTACTACTAATGATTAAAAATAAAACTTTAGAATTTCAATACATATTTAAAATATAATTCATAGTTGATATAAAACATATTTCAGGTACATTTAACAGACTAGTTAGTACCAATTTACACAAAACATAAAATAATATTAGATTGGTTACATAAATTACTTAAATTATTAATTTACTTATTTATCGTACAACCACTACACACTTTCCATGCTTCATCATGTAGTCTTCTGAGTATTATTGGTGATAAGTGTTTCACTGTTTGAGAACTGCTAATATACACTAATCAGTAATAGGATAGGAGCAAAAAAATATAGGCTAACATTTGTCATATATCGTCAATGACCAATTTGGCCAAATACACCAGACATGTAGGTCCTGGCTTTAGTATCATAGTTGATTTTTAATTAAATTTAGACTCATCAATCTTGCTTAAATTGTGTTCATTTAAATATAGATATAAGACAAATGTTAAGAACTGAATTGAACTTGCAGTCATCAGAATTTGATATATATGATGTTGGTGAAGGCTGTTGTATTACATTTTCTCTTAAAGAAATACGACCACTGTTGGCTTTCGCAGAGCACATGACATTACCAGTGATTATTCGTTTTAGTTCTCCTGGAATGTAAGTACTATGTTCACTATGAGTATTTTATTTTATAAGTTATATTAAAAAATTCTTTTAATTTTGTTTTATTAGGCCTATGGTATTTGGACTTAAAAAAGGCTTGACATTTGAAAGCCAGTACATATTATCAACAATGAATGATAATGCGTTATCTGGAGATTCTAATTCCATACGTTTACATATAAATGCCATCGACAACACTCAGAGTAGTAATGAGCAACCAGAAAATCTGTTACCCAATATAAATCGAACTCAAATGGCAAGTTCTAGCTTACGAACTCCTATGCGAGTACAAGTTGAGTATCCAGATAGTATTTCAAGAAAACGGAAACATCCGTCAACCAGTCAACAACCGCCAAAAATAGCCAATTCAGTTAGTTCTATTTCAGTAATTGAGCAGTTCAGAGAAGAATGTTTAGAAGAAGATGTTTTATTATCTCAGGTTGCTGACTACCATATCAATGATGAATCAAATAAAGCAAATGTGAACAAGGATAATAATTTTACACAAGAATTTTCTGATACTGCACTTGTATTTGCCAGATGTCATTCGTTGCCTATAAGAAATTCCCCTATTAAAGGAAAGGGAAAAGTTCTGGTGTATGATTCAGATGGACTTATAGATGATTCTGATTAGAATTGATTTAATTAGTGTACACAATAATCATTAGGAAATAAACTTAAACTAATTTATTTCTTCATTGGCTGCTCAAGTTGTATGTTCAAAATTTTGTTAAATAAGCTATAAAATATAATTTCATTGTAAATAATTAACTTTATTTATTTTTTTAATGAGACCTCACATGTAAAATGAAGTACTCAAATACATTTTAAATGTTCATATAAATTATTTGTTAAAATAGTTGTACTTTGTTAGAAATTGATGTTCAGAAACAACAACAGATAAGGTGTTGTGTGGATGTGGCTGAAATAAATATGGGTCTTATACTCTTTTAATGTACCTACATAAAATATTATAAAAATTATAAATTATAATGTACAAATTTCCCTAATATTTTTAGTAGCAGTATAAACTGTCAGCTCCGTAGCTAGGGCACAATCTGCTGCCGATTTTGTAGTGGAGTGCTACATCAACTTTGGGAAGTTTTTCGTGGATATTTTTAAATTGTTGTGTTATCCAGGTAGATAGTTATGGAAGGCCCGTGTCATTGTTTAGTTGTTTGTTTCTCATGAACCACGGGGGGTTTAGGGCTATTCTTAAGAATTTATTCTGAAGGGTTTGTAATTCTGTAATTTCTGTTTTTGAGGCAGCTGCCCATGCAGGGCATGCGTAGGTTACTAAGGGTTGTATTATTGCTGTGTATAGGAGTAGAGAGTATTTCATTTGTATGGTTGAGCTATGGTTTAATAAGGAAGGGGTACCTTGGTTTAATTTTTGAAAATATTAGTGGAATGTAATTTTGTCTTTATCTATTTACCAAATACTAAATAAAAACAATATAATTGTGGTATATATACATTATTCTGGTAAATATAAATTTATGTGACTAAATATTTTATTCGTAAAATCAAAAGTGTCCCATTTGCAATTGGAATTTGTAACATTCATAAAAAAAATCAATGCCTACTTTTTAGACATATAATATGTAAACTAATGAATTCTCTTATAGTCTCATCTATTATGCTAGATTGAACATACAATTCTCATGTTTATGTAATTTGTTTAAATATTTTATGAGAGGCTTCGATGATGTACATTATTATAGGTATAGCCTATAGTAATAGATTATTAAGGTCTAAATTATGATTTCAGTATAATCTAAACCTCACACTTCCATATACAAGCCCTTTTCCCGACTGCAGACAAAGTACCTAATGTAAATAAATACTTAGGTACCTTTTTTTTAGTTAAATGGTTTTCACCATCACCAGTATGATAAAATCTGAAAAGTTTAATATCACAACCATTTCAAAATGGTTAAAAAGACAATGATTGACTTCGGTCTTGGACACACAGCTAATTAGTGCGATCGGTCGGATGGATTAGGTATCTATACTCTGTAAAAAGTAACCAACTTAGTTGCACATAATGCCGCCAGCCATTATATTTTTCGTAGGTACCCATACCTAAGTTTTTAGCCGAAACAAAAATAATAAAACCAAAACACTAAAAAAAAAAATCTGAGGGAGTACGGCAGAAAATAATATATACCTACCTACGTATATAATATATTGGTAAATATAGATATATATATATATATGTATATACTACTTATATATATTACCTGTATATGGATATATACACATATACCTATAGAGGTATAACACTGCGAAATTCGCTCTCGGATCCGTTTTGCTTGATATCGAAAGCGCCGCGGGTTTTAAGCTTATTAGCAACGGCCATTAATATTGTCACCGCCAGCTTAAACCCACCGCAGTATTTTAGCGGGCTTCCTGTAATTTATGCGTACAAATTCCGAAATACTACTGAAAAAAACGTTGGGGAAAAAAAACGAAAAATACCTACCCACTTATATAGCTGCCGTATATACCTAATATATATATATACCTATAACGTACTTGAATAAATAAAACGGGACTACGTGGACGCTTTGGCGTTTGTCAGAGTGGAGGCGCCGTTCGGATGGGGTGCCGCACGCGGGTGTGTGTTTATATTATAATATAGTATAATATACCTAATATAATAATAACGTGTATATAATATTGGTATAGGTACCTACTGTCGAATTCCTGGGCAAGACCGTTTTTTCGCGATTTTTGCACGGCCAGCAGACACGAAATACATTTCTCGCGATTAATACTATTAGAACACTATACGATGTATACACCTATAATATAGGTATAGGCGCTTTGTCGAAGGATAAAACGGCCGTCCTGGAGCCGGTGCCGGAGACGCGTACAAATCGTTGTTAGGAAACACTGTCGAGTTACCTACTGTTATAGGTAGGTCCTTCATTTATACATATACCTATATGTGTACTACATAAAATGTTATATACTTAATGACCTTATACGTATATATATATATATATATATATGTTATTGCAATATTGCTAGCTTGTTTTTAACTGTGCCTATGATTAGGTACTTAATACTTATATACGCTCTCAAATAATATTATATATAAAATGTGTGTGCGCGTAAAAGTTGTGTACTTTCTACTGCAAAATGTGTGCGACTCTATATTACAATATTGGGAAGTGCTTTTGAACTTGGACCTTTAAAAACTAAGAAAATTGTTTTTTTTTATATCTACAAAGCAATACTATCATCATTATTTGTTGGGTTATAAATAGTAATATAAATCATTAAATTATTGTACTATTTTTATAAAAAGCGAAGTTTTTTTTTTTTGCTCGACATTAGTCTGTAAACAGTTATAACGACGAGTAGAGATTCATTATTGGTTGAATATTTTTTTGTTGGGAACTCTTAGTTTTACTATGATACTAATGATACACTATGATCTTAGTCAAATTTGAATGAAGATTATACTTAATAGGAATTTTGAAACTGAATATCAACGGTTACTAGTTTAGGTACTACAATAAATCAAAATGAATTTTGTCAAAAACTGGTTTGCGTAAAAATTCTCACTCGTTTTATGTTAACTTTTTTTGCATTTTCGACGCTTCTTAACTCCCCCTCTCCCCAAAGTAACCAACTAACTCACATTCTACCCAGAAAAGATGATGAAGTAAAAACCAAAACATTTTTACTGCCCCAAAAGACAAATTGAAAGGTGACGATAGAGACAAAAAAAAACACACACACACATATTATTGTAAAACTAATAGGTACACAATCATTGCTCCAATCAGAATCTAAAATGTAATTCTCTGTCATACGATGCATCATACTTGGGTTTTTACTTCTACCTGTTCATACAGATCGATTTAGGTAGAGACGGCCAACTCTAATCTTTGAATAAGCAAATATATATTAAAACCATTTAGACTTATTAGTTAACGGACACTTAAAAATCGGAATTCTGCCGGTAATAAAATCTGTTATCAGTCGGTTACTGTTAACCGGACATTGCCTAATAATTTTTTGCAACAGTCCTTGGCCATTCCCGTTTTAAATGTTTTCGGCTGTATATAAGTATAAACATTTATTTATGAATTATTACAATATATTTTATACACTTACGTTTGGTAGTAAAATATTTTGATTTTACTCCAAGAAATTGGTCGTGATATTTCGCCGCAGTAGAATATGTGTCGTTTATTATTTCTGTCTTTGACCCACGAACGTACTTATTTGTATTGGAAAACGTACTGTTACGCAAATATAATTGTTACCTAGATGGCTATGTGTGTGTGAATTCTAAATGAATTGTACTACATTAAAATAATGTTTTCTGTTCTAATAATCGCTCTTCGTCATATTTATTAGATAATATTATAAATTATTAATAACTGAATAATTCTATATTATGTTCATCTGATTGAATGCAAATTCGTTGTCGATTTCGGGGTAGGTACATGTGCGTTTAAAAAAAAAATGTTTTTATAATGTATGCATTTCGAATTATTCCACGGTACCATTTTTTAAAAAGTTTTTTTGCATTTCAATTGACTGATTTTTTCGTCGTGAGACGTGAATTCAAAAGTTTGGTTTCGCGTCATTTTAATACTGTTATATTATTAAATATAATTGTATATTGTGGTGGTGTAAAAGACTGCCATGACGTTTTGGTTGGTTTAAGGTTTTTCAATATTGCATAAAATAATTTTTGTTACGATCGTTTAAAATAAATATTTTTTTACACTCACCTTTAATGATGTATTTGTTCATTCATATTTATTTAAATAATATGATAACATAGTGATAATATACATGCTTGCTCACCATTGTGAATATATGTATGCTTTATAGTTGAAAAGAACTTTTAGCCATGGCAAAATCTGTCAATAGAGTTAAATCGAAAAAGGTAATATATATTATGATAGTTTTTTTTATCTAAAAAAAGACGTCACCTGCAAAATGTCGGTGTAAACACGAGTAGGTAATTAAGTTTATAATCGTGGTTAGATCAAAATATTGTTCAACCGTAATAAAAATATAAAAATTAAACGAACTACTGTTAGAATAATATGATATACGAATCAATATCTCTGGAAAAAAGAGCTGTTATTAATCGTATCGATAGTGTCAGGCTGGTATTATAGTGGTATTATATAAGGGCGTTGTAATCGTTGTATCGAAGATATTGGAATGTATTAGATGCAACAAGAATTCCTTCATTCATAATAATTGAAACGTCAACCATCGGTGTCATATGAAGTCCTAAATTTAGGAGGGCGAGGGTTGAATCTAGAAATCTAAATCCTCAAAAAAAAAAATTTCAGAAAAATTGGCACCTTAAAAAAATGTTGTGGGCTGAGTACGGTTAGGTTAGGTTATCCCGAAAAACCCCATCTATACCCTACAGCCAACTATGAATAAAGAAGAAGCTTTAGAATTTAGAGTTTTATATTATTAATGCTAATACGGCATAACCGATAGGCGATAGCACTTGTTGAGAAGAGAGATAAAGAAAGTAGAAGAAGTAGAGTTGGGGAAACAAAGTCAAATTGAAACAAATAAAACAATACCTATAATAATAAAAAAGAAAAAATTGCGTCATTGTCACCAAAACGTAGTAAATTAGTTCTCATTCGGAATTAAAGACCAAAAACATATTATATGATTTATGTTATCAAACTAGCTAATAAAAGTATTCAAATTATTAAAATAATAATAAATAAATATATTTATATGAAATTAATATTTCTGAAAGTACTTAA